GTGTCATCCCTCACTCAGTGCCAGCGCTCGGTGTCATCCCTCACTCAGTGCCAGCGCTCGGTGTCATCCCTCACTCAGTGCCAGCGCTCGGTGTCATCCCTCACTCAGTGCCAGCGCTCGGTGTCATCCCTCACTCAGTGCCAGCGCTCGGTGTCATCCCTCACTCAGTGCCAGCGCTCGGTGTCATCCCTCACTCAGTGCCAGCGCTCGGTGTCATCCCTCACTCAGTGCCAGCGCTCGGTGTCATCCCTCACTCAGTGCCAGCGCTCGGTGTCATCCCTCACTCAGTGCCAGCGCTCGGTGTCATCCCTCACTCAGTGCCAGCGCTCGGTGTCATCCCTCACTCAGTGCCAGCGCTCGGTGTCATCCCTCACTCAGTGCCAGCGCTCGGTGTCATCCCTCACTCAGTGCCAGCGCTCGGTGTCATCCCTCACTCAGTGCCAGCGCTCGGTGTCATCCCTCACTCAGTACCGATGTGCCATGTAACGTGCATTGCATAACACAAGTCGGCACATGTCAGAGGGGCCCACCCACCGATGTGCCATGTAACGTGCATTGCATAACACAAGTCGGCACACGTCAGAGGGGCCCACTCAGCGATGTGCCATGTAACGTGCATTGCATAACACAAGTCAGCACACGTCAGAGGGGCCCACTCAGCGATGTGCCATGTAACGTGCATTGCATAACACAAGTCAGCACACGTCAGAGGGGCCCACTCAGCGATGTGCCATGTAACGTGCATTGCATAACACAAGTCGGCACACGTCAGAGGGGCCCATCCACCTATTTTGGTGAGATGATTAGAAGTGGTATCATACGTGGTGGTGACCCCGGAGACTTCAGTGGAAGACAAAACATGGAGAGTGGATTCCTACATTTCAGCACACAGCAACAAGCAACCTCCACTTTATTTGGCATTCATTGGCCCTAAGCATGAAAATACACACCAATGTTCATCAATAAAACGCACATCACAGTGCCAGGCGGGCGTAGCCTCTGAGAGATGGGGATTAAGGGAGGAGAGGGGAACAGGAGGGGCTATTAGGTGTGTATGGGGGGGAGAGGGGGAGCTGGGTTGGTGAGTCTGAACTGGAGGGGGGTTGTTTGCTCTCCTCTATAAACAAATAATCCATCCCATCATTTTGGGTGTTCAGAAATGTTGGGTCTCCCTCCTTGATGGCGCTGGTGATAAGTTTGGTGCCTTCAATGCAGCAGAACCAGTGTTATATAGTCGGTGGGACGGGGCGTTTCCGTAGAACTCGGAGCCAGGAGTGCGACACATTGACCCAGTGCAGGTTTAGGCGACCTCAGCACTCCAGCGGTGGAGAAAATACAAATTCCATCATGCCTTGTCTCTGGGAGTCATGACTGTAATTGTCAGGGGCTTGCAATGCATCATGGGACTTGTAGTTTCATCACGTGCTGTGCTGAGCTAGGGTATCACAATGGAATATTTAGTATGTTGTGATAGAGAAGAGGGGAGTCTGGTTCTGTGTGTAGGGAATAGAGGTGTCTCATGATTCCTATTGTCCAGTCACATGAACTCCGGTCCGGTGTGCAAGGAGCGGGCCGGACTGTACATCATCATCATCTAAACCAGCCATGGACCTTCTAAGAAGCTGGCCGGCCATACATTGTTAGATTTCACTGGGTCAGCCTGCGAGTTGCATGATAGAAATCTGACAGATTCCTGTTTAGTGTGGATGGAGGAATCTCTCATGTGGGGCTGTTGTGTTCTGACAGCTGGTTCCTGCGGCTGTCGGAACACTGTGACAGTGACTGCATCTGATTGGCTGCAATCACTGTTCATCAGACGATTTTCCAGCCCGCTCCTTTGACAAAAGTCCATTGACCTAATGACGATTGAAGAGGAGAGTGGTTCTGACAGACCCCCACACAGCCTGAATTGGGGCCGGTTCAGCAGGAATCTTGTGAAATTCGAGCAGTGTTTGGGCAGCTTTAATCGGCCACAAATGGAATGAAAGTGAATCCAAACCGCAGAACGAAAATGTAACATATTGCAGGTTACTATGTGGTGGCTGTATTCATTTTCTTTACTTTTACCTGGTTCCTGCCAGTAACACACTTCCTGTCTTGGGTGACAACACTCAGTCACCGTATTATTTATGGAGGAGTAGGGTTGTCCCCCTTGACTGCTCTCTTGATTTGTACTACAAAAACCTCCTCTCTTTATTTCCATTACTAAGGGCTTGTTCACACGAAATGCAGACCAGATCTGCATGAGTTTCTGCACGTGCAGTGTGTTTTTTGCTGCGTTTTGGGCCGTATTTGTAAAAAAAATATATATATATTTTTAGCCTAAATTGGGCTTTCAGTGCATTTCAGGGCGTTTGCATGCATTTTTGATGGGTTTGCATGCGTTGTGGTGCGTTCCAGAGCAGGTAAAATAGGACTCGCTGCAGTTTTTCCACCTGCTCTGGAACTGAACGCTGCGGTGTTAACTAGAGCCCAAAATACCATTGGAATACATTGGATGCAGTTTCAATGCGTTCTCTAACTGCTCTACATCAGCCCCGCGCTTGTCGTGAACTAGCCCTAAGGGGTTATGTGTTTTGTAGTCCATAGACAATGGCTGGGAAAGCTGAGATTTCAGTACACAGGAAGTTACAGGTATACCGCCATTCTTTCAGGATGAGCCTGATAAAAGGAAACGTACAGATCACACGGGGACTTGTAGTCTGCTGTATGTGGCATTTCTGGTCTTGGGTGTAGAATTGTAGCTCAGTAGCCCGGTCTGTGTATTTCACCTTCATCCTGACCAGGGAACAAACTACCGCTGATTCTGTATGTTGGTGACCCCGGCTGTGCACCAGAGGTACTCGGTTTAGGTTTTGTGGTCCTGAGCCCCTGGATTGTTAGAAGTAGTAGAGAAGCTGGGCGTCTGTGTACACGGCCATGTATAATATCAGTGTTGGCTCCAATCATGCCTAAGCTGAAGTGGGGAGACAATTGCTGAGGGCTGAAGTTCTGGTAGAAGAGACTCTGTATGTGTCTGATGCCCAAACAAACCGTGTCCTAGCATGTATCTTTGTATACTGCCCTGTGCAGCGTACACAATATCACGGAGCTCAGGCATGTATGCTGGGAAGATACATTGGGGGCGATTTATCA